TTATGCAACTTCAACCATGCACTGCTGCCATCGCTCAGCTTCTCGATGTTCAACAAATGGCTTACGCATTCCACTGCAAATGGCCAAAAACATGGTGGTAGTCCGGCTTCTAGTAGGCATGTCGATGTGGTAAGCATCATGAACTGATTGTTTCTTTCGGCGAGTGAATTGTTCTGGGGATGTCCTGGAAGCGACTGGTCTAGTGGAATCCGGAGTTCCTTGAGCGCCGCTTCGAATTGTGGCGCATCATCCGAGTAAGCGTTGGTGACCTTTCTCTTACCGATATAGTGCTTCATCGCCTGCACCACTTCGTCACTATTGCTTGCTTTCAAAGGATAACCCCATATCACACCAGTGAACCGATCTCGAATCACCAAAACATCCTTATCCGGCATGATCCCATCTCTCGCCATCTTCTGAGTGTTCATGAGATCGAAAGTGATAAGGTCACCGAATGCCTTCAATTTCCGTTTGAAAGCTCCCTTGCTAGTCTTGTAGTGCTTCATCTTTGCTCTCACACATGACTTGCAGTATGGGTTCTTGTATCGGTGCGTCATCAGGTGCAATATGGATTTCGCCTCGTTCTTCAGCACTCCTGGTTTTGATAGTCTGGCTTCCCCGTCGACCACATCGACTTCCAATAACCCCTCTTCATCTTCACCAATGTCACTCTCCTCTCGTTCAGAATCCGCATCACCTCCATGTTCGTCGTCTTCGGCTTCTTCAGGTTGGCCATCGAGATCACGATCGATTCTCGGGTCTTCCCCGTCGTATCCCTCTTCAGGAGAATATCCGTCATCGCCGTGTTCCTCTGGTTCTCCTTCGTCGCCTACAACGGCTGGATTGATATCAGATTCACCATCCTGATCTCTCTGGTTACCTTTCTTCTTTCTCCTCCGTCTCCGTGGTTTCTTGGGCGGAGGTTCCTCTTGTTGCGTCTCCTGACCTGCTGTGGCCTCGTCTTCATGCCCCACACCTGACAGTATGCGATGAAGTATCGTAGCCAAGCCGTCTGGTCTTGGTAAACATCTCCCGTCATCATCGTTCACCTTAATGTAGGGTATGTTGTCATGTACCGATAGCGGAATCTTGTTCGCGTTCTGGTCGATGAGGTATGGCAATTGATTTGCCGGCCATACGAATGAGTACCCTTGTTCCATGCACCGTTTCCCGATGGAAAAGACTGATGGTGTGCTCTCCAACACGTGTGCCTCGGACATCAAGGGTAGTTCGTCCACATTGATGTCCACCATCTCTGATGTACTGGTTACACCATTCGCTGTCATGAAGCTCACGGATTTGGGTCCTTCCTTGGTGGTAAGGCCCATGGCATTGACTTTCTCTCTTGAGATCAAGTCGTGTCCACATCCCGTGTCCATGATGAAGCGTATCGGTGGTCCATCATACCTCTCCACAGCCATGAACATCGTGTCTCCTGGTATCGAGTAGTTGACAGAATCCTTCCTTACTACCTCGCTGGTGTTGAAGTCTGACAGGTCGACGTTCACCTCGATTCCTTCATCTTGAGTGATTTGTATCCATGCCTTGGCAATGTGTTCAGCAGAAAATAACTCCATCATCTTACCTTTGGCATGTGCTACTCGTGCAGCTATATTGCTCACTCTGAGGGCTCTTAACGATGAAATGAGCTCGGTATCCACCTTCTGTACCTCACTCTTCTTCTTCCTGAGGGGACGGGTGTTTAGCTCGTTACCAGGATCGCAGGGGAACGTGGTCACATCCGCCTGATCATCGAATCTGACTTTAAAGCGAAGCGCCAACTCACCTCGTCGTACGTTGGGAAGTGCGGGTTGCATGTCCTCGTCATCACTCTCGATGTCTCCGCAAAGCATGAAGGCTGGCGCAGCCGGTTTGGGTTTGGCTTTGCTTTTAGCCTCTTGTTTTGTAGCAGGAGCAGCTTGACGCTGACGTCGACATTTGTCCCCGAACTTGCACGATCCTTTCTGCCAATTCCAACAGACCTGATCCTTCATTGGCTTAGGGCTAGTGCTCCTACCACCAGGACTCTTTGATCTGTCACCCTTGAGGTTGTCTGGTTTCTTAGCAGAACTTTTGTGCTTCTCCTGGTGACTAAACTTGCATTTGTCTCCTCTAGAACATCCGTTTTTCCCATGGAAGTGGAAAGCGCATCCTATCTTGGACGTGTCTGCCGGAGTCGCTGATCTGCCACGGTCCCCCTTTGGGCTCTTCGTGGTTGACCTTCCACGATCCTGCTTCTTGTCCTTCTTTTGGTGATCCTTCGGATTAGTCTGAGGAAGTACTGGAGCGGCGTCAAGCTTCGGTGGATCGGCCTTGGTATTCTTGGGCTTCGCTTTAGGGTCCTTCCTCTCCGCTGGTGTAGCCTTCACGAGGTTCCCAAAAGCCTTTTCCCTTTCTTTCTTGTTTGTGGTCTCGATTGATTTCCGTATCCACTTCGCCATGATCTCTCGTAACTTCTGGTAGGTCTTATCCGGATCCTTGTCCAACATGTTGTCGTACACGGACAAGTCTAACGCCATAACTTTGGAATCCTTAATCTTATCCCAAAGCAGGTTGCGGAGTGCTTTGTCAGGAAGCATGTCATCCGCATCCATACCTGATATGATCTCATCCCACTGTCCAAGGAATCTGGATAGTTGATTATCCCCAGGGAATTTTAGATCGAATAAGTGCTTGGATGCATACATCACATCAACGTTGTCGGCACTCCGGAAGCTGTCGACGATCAACGCTAACATTTCTCGTCCTTTGACCATTCCAGGAGTTGTGCCTCTCGCACGCCTCTGCATCATCTGCCTCACCTTCAGTTGTACGTCATGAGATCTCTCGCCTGCTGCGTGGATGATCGTATGTAGGGTGATACCTAGCTTAGCGTCTATGCTAGCGAATCTTGCTTCACCTGATGTCTCGAGCAGAAATGGGTCATATGGTGATCTGAAGGCATCTGAGAGCCACTGGATCCAGTCTTCCTGTCTTTCGTCGCCCGATGCCGTCACGACTGCCGCTACAACCTGGGATTTCCAAACCTCCAAGTCATGTATCTTGGGCCATGCAGGGATGTTGATCTTCTCGTGTTCCTTCCGAGATATCTTGGAGCCACCCGAGCTAGAGGATGAAGCGGCACCATGTTCGGTTGCGGCTGCATTCTCTGCATTCAAGCGCTCCTCTTCGTACCTCCTCCGGTACTTATTCCTCTCATCTCTGAGCCGTGCTGCATGCGCTTCGTATTCCATCATGTCCTGTTGGTTCTGCATCATACCTTCGTAGTACTCCATTGCCTCCCTCTCCTCGGACCTTAATGACTTCTCGGTACGTCCAAGTTCCGCTCTAAGCTTGGTCATCACCTCATTCTCCACATTGGGTTCTGATCCCATGTCTGGTGGTTTCAACGTCAGTGCGACCTTCAATTGTGCTTCACTTGCGCTTGATTCGATCAATTCTTCCTGAAGACGATTCAGCATCCTCTCTTTACGCAGAATGTCTTCTTCCAACATGTTCATCTTGACTTCAGCTTTCTTGAGTTCGACGTTGGATGGTCGAGACAGTCGATCGGATCCTTGAATCCTCGCCTGCGTCAACTCCTCGTTCGCCCTCTTCAATTGCTCCCTGATGGTCATGATGAAGTTGTCCTGATTACAAGATTGGTTGCTGAGCTCCTCATTCTCTTCTGATAACCATTTGATCTTGCTTGTATACATTGCTTCCTTCATCTTCATCTCCTCAGCATATTCGTGTTTGTTCCTGGCACTCTGCCTTTGTAGTCCAACTAACTCTTGTCTATACAGATCCCTAATGTTCTCAGCATCTGCGACTGCAGTCATGACCTTGGTTACGGCTCGATCTCTTTGCGCCGATATAGCCTGGATCTCTTCCGCGCCGATGTTCACAACTTGGCTAACCATCTCTGCGCTGTTGCGATCAGCGTACTCCCCTAACTGGGTGAGACGATCCCGCATTGCCACACGATCAGTGTCAATCTGGTATTGCAAATCGTGTGCTGCCGAGAGCAAACAGTCTCTGGATTCTGTAAGTTGGGAGATTCTTCGTTGATTTCCATATCCTTCGACATAACATTCTTCGAGGTGTGCCATCACTACTTCGTGGACTTCGGTCTCGTGTTGTATAATCTGGTTCTGTCTCTGCTCACATTCGACCATCCATGCGTTCTGGTGGTTCAACATATGCACTTCGGCAAGTAGTTGTGCACACTTCGCATTCAGGTCTCCATCGGCCCGTGCTAGTTGTAGGTTGTCAGTGCTTGCCCTTGCTCCATCTCCAGCTTCGCTGTCCGACGGCACTGGTACAGTTGACCCATCCTCCAATGCTAGCACTCTCACAGCTCCGGTGTCAGTCCTCCTCCTCGTCTCCCTAGGGCTACGGCCTGATCTTGGTGTCCCCCCCGGTGGTGTCGATTGCGCTGACGGGGAACGACTTCGCGCTCTACCTGTCGCACCTTCTCTCACCACTGTCAGAGTCTCCGCTTCGATCGTACCTGGACTAGAGTTGTGGGATGCACTCATCCGATCTGCGGCCGCAGCAGCTGCTCCGAAGGATGCAGTGCTGGCGTCGGATTGTTCCATCTTCAGTGACTGAGGGTAACTGATCTATCCGGTGCGTGTGCGTTTAGATGGTGTTGTGTAAGGCCGCAGCACGTACCCAGCTCAAAGGAGTCTGGATACGGCTGATAACCTGCGAACGGATGAAAAGGTGTGCCCTGGCCCCGTTCTAGCCCTTAGTTCAACATGAAGCTCGCGCGCTAAAGCTCCTTTTTACCTGGTTGGGCACTTGAGCCAAAATGGTATGGCATGTACCTATATAGCAACTATACTGGGACCTCATCCCTATTGACAAATTTAATTTAAGTTCGTTCTAATTTAATCGAATTCTAATTTAATTTCTAAATTAACAATTACTTCTTGCTCCTAGTAGTAAGGCCAGCTCCAAGCATCTTTCGCCGCCGTGGACGAGGCCGTCAAACGACCCCAGCTGTGCGTCCGGACCCTCCGGCGCCCGCTCCCTGCGAAGTCGGCTTTGACGTCGGGAGCGGGTCGTCCCAACAAGGTCATCCATTGATTCAGCTCTTCGAAAAGGTCCTAGATTCCTTTGCTAATTAAAGTATTGTTACTAGTAGTAAGGCACCTGTTACTACTAGCGTGGCACTTGTTACTAGTAGCGTCTAAAAGCGAACCTTGAAAAGTGAGTATGTTTCTTGGTCATTGGATGTCATTGGTCTTCCTGAATTCGAGAAAAAGTGAGGTCTTTTCTTGGTTCAGATCGGCGTCACATCGTTCGTTCGCCTCCGCTTCATCACCTGAAGAAGTCCACCGAAGCCTGCGGGGTTGACAGGGCTGAGGGCTGATGCACACCGATTCCAACATAGGCCACATGAGAAATGGACATCCCAAAAGGAAAAACCTGGAGGAACATCCCTTCAGAGTCTCATTCTCTGGTTCCTTTATGTTCTTGTAGTTCAGCCCTTCGTTCCTTCCTTCCTGCTCGTGCAAAAGGAAACAACGCGAAAAGGCGGAAAAACCTCAATTTCCGCGTGGCCCACTGCAAGGCTCCAAGCAACCTGGTGCCGATCGCCGATCGCCAGACACCAAAGCACCGGCCGGGGCGAAGCGGCGAAGCGGCGAAGCTGAGCTGTGAGCACAGAGACACAAAGGACCTCAATTCACCCAAGAGCAAGAAGCTACTAGTAACAAGTGCATCGCTACTAGTAACAAGTGCCGTACTAGTAGGGTTGCGAATATATTTCTGGATTTTTTTCGTTTTTTTTGGTGATTTTTTTTGTTTTTCGTGTTTCGTGGCAGGTGCAGTACTTTGTGGACCTTGCAAAGCACATTTCGTGGCAGGTGCAGGACTTTGTGGGCCTTTGTAGTAGTAAAAATAAATACCCCTCCTACTAGTAGTAACAAGAAGCTAGTAGAAACAAGTGCCACGCGAGTAGTAACAGGTGCCTTACTAGTAGTAACCAGAAGCTACTAGAGGAGCGGCACTCCGTTCCGCCGCGCGCGACACGCCGTGTCCGCACTATGTCGCAGACACCGACCAGGTAGATGTATTGACTTGAGGCGAAGGCCTTGGAGGTGCACAGCGTGACTTGCGCAGGGAAGGGGTATGACACCCGTGACATGTGTCACATACGTCACACTCATGACATGTGTCTCTTGGCAAAATTCAACATGTCTAATCATATCTGAGTGCAGGTGAGGAGCGTCTTGCTTTAGAATATCTGTGAAGGCATCGGCTCCTGGCAAGAGTTCTGCAAAGTCCCGGAGTCAAAAATCCCATCCCAAGAACTGTCCAAACCCCAAACAACACCTCCGTGCCGTTCTTCTTTTACCTATATAGCGGTCCAAGCGTGGCGCGCCATTGCCCAAGCCTGCAAAGCCCAGCAAAGGTACACCTGCTGCCAAGTCGTTTCTTTCCAAAGATCGTCACGACACGAAGCAAGCGGCTAGTAGGTGGGAGGCCATCGCTCGGGCAAGCACACCAGTGGCGCTTGGTGACTCATCGGGCCTATCAGTCTGATCGATTCTTTCAGAGTCTCATTCTCCATCTTCCTCTTCAGCCTAGCGCGGGTGCACCTTCTTTGCAAGTTGCTCATGGAGGACCGTATCCAAGGTTCTGGCAGAAAGGGCACCAAGAACCTCATCCAAACTCATCAAGGGTGCTGAAGGCTCCTAGTTGTTGACTGATTTCTGCCAATTGCACTCGAAGGAGCCAAAGTAGTAAGAATCGGATGGCTGAAATCACGTCGCTGATCAGCTTCGCCTCATCTGACCTCAAAATCCACTCTCCGTCCGCTCTCAGGCCACGCTACCCGTTCAGCACCCACCTACGTGCAACCGTGGTGTGCCGTGCCCAAACTGCTCTCGGCCCTGCTCTCTGCTTAAGGAACCCAAAAAGGAATCCTGGACAGTGAACCTCTATCAAAGTCCCTAAACCCAACCTCTCACCCCAGGATTCTACAAACCCCGGTTTGCTGGTCTACGAGCACGCGTCGCCAATCCAGTCACCACGAACTGACGCTTAGATGTGCCATGAGGTTGGAGGCCATCAAGGCCTTTGACCCTTGGCCAGGCCCCAGGCTCTGATGTCCCCCTTGGCCACGGCACGTGCTCACCGCTAGAAGCTAGGCAGCTAGACAAAAGGCAAAACTGAGGCGTTCACATCATCATCTTCCAACTTTTCTTCAAAACCTCACGACAGTCGGAGTGAGCCAAGGTCTCTTTTTCATCAGGTGCGGCGCCATCGGGGCTCCCGACCATGAAGAGAAGCACCACCGAGAAAAGAGAGATGCTGGAGACCAAGATCTTCCATGTCGATACCTCTCATTCAAAGAGAATTCAGAAAGCCTCAACATGCTCAACAACAAAAGATCGCTCGCCATCGCTATTGAATAGGTTGGAGGCCATTGCCAGTAGGTTGCTAGTAGGTTGGAGGCCATCGCTATTGGGTTGGAGGCCACGGCTATTAGGTTCAAAGTGAAGAGAATTCCAACGTCTCGGCTTTTTAATCGCTTCAGTCTCTGCCTTCAAAGCGGCGTTGCCACTGTTGACCATGTAAAAGACCGACCTTGTTGAGAGCAGTCAGGCCATTCGGGGGACATCAATGAGCAGTCGCTCATTGGCAAACGTCGAGGCACAAGATGAAACCCAAGGAAGCCAAGAAGGACAAGGACATTGCCTAGGAAAACCCGAAACAAGGACGGCCCGATTCAAACCCAATCGCAAGTCGAACAAGTCATATACAAACGATCTGGGCAGGAAGCTGTAGATGCTTCCTTTGATTCATCCTGAAGGACAAACTTTGCATGGAATATTGGAGACACATCACATCGGGGAAGACATGAAGATCACAAGATCGAGTTCGTCCTTCCAAACGCCCACCATTTGATCCTCAGCTTTGCCAGCTACAAACGATGCTATCACCCACAATGGCCCACAACCCTTCACAAATTGATCAAACTTCATGCTCACTGCAGCTTTGGCACTCCTTTACCAGGCTTAACGGTCAAATTGGAAACGGCCTCCGTTGCACTCACCACGACCTTTCCGCAGAGTCGCTTCGGAAAGGTGCTCCACATCGATGGTTGACTGGTCCGCCTTGCTTACAGCTGGCTCTTGGTGAACAAAGCTTCCATCCTGCCAGCGGCAGGAAGTAGCTGAATAAGTCTTTATATGGGCATTTGGCACTAGGTTTTACTTACAGCTCTAGGAATCTAGACAGCGCTGTGTTTCTTGTTCGGGCTCGAAGATTTCGCGTTTTCTCGTCCTGGCTGGAGCGGCTTTCTCTTCGAACGTAGCCCGGACCTGCTTGAAGTGACCTGAGCTGACCACGTTCACCGACACGAAACGATCTTCCACAAGGGGTTTCCTCCGGCAGCTTCGAGAAAAAACATACACACATCACACACACAAAAAGAAATATAATATATATATATATATTATACCTGAAAAGGGGGGGGACGAAAGCCAGCCTCTGTAAGAAAACATCAACAAGGCACTGGGGGTGAAGTCGAGAGGGCACTGGAACAGTGTCAAGAATGGGGAAATAAAAGGCAGAGGTGGAGAGTCGCAATAAAGGTGGGGGAGTGGGATACCCCTGCCCTTGTTGCTCAAGGGGCGTTGTGAAATTAAAAAAAGGCACCCCTAAGTAACGGAGGGGCGTTGGCGTGCTGTTGCTTTGTCTTGTGTTGCAGATAGACTCATAGAGCTGGTGTGCTGCCAAGAGTGGACCAAGGAAAGGTGATGCTACTGCTGTTGGAAATAGAAAGCAGGATACATGGGGTAGGGGGTGCCCTTTTTTCGCTCGGTTCAAGGGCGCTTTGAAGCTGAAAGCCCTAAGGAACTCAGGGGCGCTTGCCCGCTGTGTGTTACTCACGTCCTGTAGATGGACTCAAAGACTCGGCGCGCAAGATCAAGTGATTGGCCAACATCGGGCAAAGAGTACCTCTATGGGGTGGAGTTGACATCGCAGCCACTCCGATAGGGGGTAGGTTCGGGGGGGGTGCCCTTTTTCTTCCTGGTTCAGGGGCGTTTTGGAGGTGATAAAGGGCACCCCTAAAGAAGTGAGGGGCGCTTGCCTGCTGCGTGTTGCCAAACAGTAAGCAAAGATGGCTGTGGGGGGGCACAATGGGTGAGGCTATCGGCAAGCTTTCGTGAGGATACATATATGTATACACACACACACATATATATATATATAGAGACAGAGAGACATATACATCCTACGTGAACACAGAAGTGTCTATAGAGGTACACACACCCTTTCACCCCTGGTCGAACACTATTTCAATGGCAACTAGAGACGCGCATCTCCCTTTCCTGGACGAGCTCCAACCACTTCTTCACGTCCCGTTGTCTCCTCTTTCCTATCATCGACATGAACTCCCACCCCTGGTTGAAGACGGCTTACGTTGCCTCCTGAGCCCCTCATGATGCTAATGATGCACTTTTCGCCGTCCAACTACATCACTTGCATCATAACATTCCAAAAACCATTCATTTTCTCTACCTCCTGGCCACCTCTTCGCTCTCCCCCACCAGGCTCTGGGTTAGCCCTCCCCCACACCCTTTACTCACTTCATGCATCTAACCCAACTTCAGCCCAGCCTATCGGCTGGCTTTCGTGATATTATATAATACACCCGTTGAGGCCCTTCAACTCTCTCTCTCTGTCTCTCTCCCATCGGCTTTCCAAACGCGAAAGCTTCCAAAGCGTCGAGATGCTCTATATCACCGTTGGCTGCCACAGTGTGGCTGGCCTGGCCGGTCAAACGAAACAAAGTGAAAGGCAAGGCTAGGTCGTTAGGCGTGCCTTGTACTCAGCACTTCTGGCTGACTGGAGGACAAGGGCCACCCATATGAAGAACATTCCCCTCGGACGATCACAGCAAAACGCTGCTTGCGCTGCTCGAGCCACTCGTCTGGATATGTGTGCGACAGTTGGATACGGCCTCCCCAATAGCCTGAAATGAGCACCCAAGGCAGCCCAAGGCACTACAGATTGGATTTTGAACACCTCAGGCACTTGAGCCAGTGGCTGCTGGACTACACTTCGACGCAGCTGCTGAGGCCATGTGGTCACAAAGAAACCCCCACACAGCTGCTCTCGTTTCCCTCAGAGAAGCGAAAGGCGCTCCGTCAAGGATGGTGGCGGTGGCAAGTGTTGTCCACCCTTTAGAATTTGGAAAGATTTCATTGGAGGCTTCAGCGAAAATCGGTCGCAAGGCCAGTGAGTGCTGCATTTCCCCTGCAGGTAGGCCTCAGTCGCCGCCCGATCGGGACCAGGGAGAGAGAGAGAGAGAGAGAGCCTAATAGCGATGGCCTTCAACCTAAGAGCAATGGCTCCAACCTAAGAGCGATGGCCTCCAAGAAAACTTGATAAAATGCAGTGATTAATCATTGATTAAGGAATTGAGAAAAACTTATGTAAGAAAGTATGGAATGGCTAGGAATTCTCACATCCGAACGTGTAGGAAAACCGGGCCAAACAGGGCCAACCACCCCAGCTGCATCCCAGTCGGGCACCAAACTAGTAACTAGAACAAAACATCACCCCGATCGTAGCGTCCTTGTTCCTAGTAGCGATGCCCTTTGTTCCTAGTAGCTTCTTGCTCCTAATTGTAAGGCCAGGAGCCCCTAGTAGCGTCCGATCGCTCCTAGAACAAAACGCAAAAACACGGAGAACATGTTCGAAATCTTCGCCATAGTTCCTTCTCCTTCTTGCGTCGTGTGTCCTCCGAACGCCGAGCACAAGGAGCGTAGGCCACACAAACACCCAACCGTGCCGGCTGGGGTCGTGTGAAGCTTTGGGTCGCGTTTCCGTGACCTCCGACGCTGGCATGCACCAAGCGAGAGTTGAAGAAAACGACGCTGTCAGGTGGCACATCCGGTTTGATGGGCCGGAAGTCCGCATCCTCTGGAGCTCTCAGATGATCTCTTGTTCCACTCCCCTCCCAGGGATAAGTGATCTTGTGTGAGCCAGGTACCACACAGGTTCCAGCATCGTGCGGCCCACTTCCAAAATATGTGTAAACCCCCTGAATTGATAAAGCTTTGTGGTTGGGGTGCTGGTCTTTGTGTAGCCAGGATGGAAGTTTGCTCTTGGCATTCTGGGCTTGCGCGATGACAGCATCAAGACTCACCACTAAGTCATCCGTATCAAACATGCGCGCAAAGGCCTGTCTGATGCGGGGGTGCCCACGCACCATCCAAGCAAAATCTGCCTGTGGCAGCCCATAGCTGCTGACAATCCCACGAAAGCCTTTCGGGAAATTCCATGTCTGTGGTCTCCGGGCATCGAGGTCAGGAACCACCAAGGTCATGGCCTTCCAGAACTCATCCATGAAGGAGCTGCCATCACCCAAGACGCCCTGCAAAATGGCATAGCCCTGCTCTCGCAAGTGCAGCAGGAAGTCTCCGTTGGGCTCACCGAAGATCGCCGAGCCGCTCGACAGAGAGCACGGCACCGGCACATGCCGTCCGCTCGCCACGCGGCAGCGCTTCGGAGGCTCCACTTGGATCTCGTTCCGCAGGCGGCGCCGTTTCTGTCCGTCGAGTTCCCTGAAAGCAAGGCGTTTCTTTGTCTAGGAGCGATCGGACGCGACGAACGGGTTCATGTAAATCAAGCTGGAAGTGGAGCTGGACTTTCCCTACACCAATGACTGGTGGACGGACAGTATGGATGGAGACGTCGATGTGAGCTCGCTTGGGTCGGATGTGAGCAGGGAGAGCAGGGAGAGCGGACAGTACCGTGCTACTAGGTTGGAGGCCATCGCTATTAATTATTAGGTTGGAGGCCATTACTAGTAGCAAGAAGCCACTAGGTTGGAGGCCATGGCTATTGGGTTGGAGGCCATCCCTATTGGTCACATCCCTATTAAATCCTTTGCAGGCCCGCGCTAGTAGATTAGGAGAGCAGGGGAAAACACCGTGGCGTCGCGAGGCTGCTAGTGGCGTCCCGTGTCGACAGCCCAACGACCGTGGCGACGATGGCATGTTAGCATGAACACCGGCAACGCAGCAGGATAGCGCAAAAAAGGAAAAGGAAAGAAAGAAGGCTCTAAAGAGTTATATAACTAATATTGCTTTAAAAGGAAGACAGGTCTAAAGAATTATTTAGTATTGCCTAAAAAGGAAAGCGCCTACTAGCGATAGCCTCCAACCTAGAAGCGATGGTCTCCAACCTACTAGCTACCCCCGGTCACAAGCAAAACACTTTCAATGGCCACTCCTGACACCGAATTGATCACCTTCTTCCCTCTCGCGTCTTTCGCTTCTCTCGTTCTCCCTCTGGTCCAAATCCCCATGACATGATGTTCTTCTCACCCCAGGCTGTGGTTCTTCTTCCTCTGGCTCTTCATCAACATCAATCACCGGGACTTCCACCCAGTTTGAAACGGCATTGCAGCGCATGCTGATGAATATGCTAGGTGTTCTTGCCATGCCTGCCACTCCTTGCAGAAGAAGGGCAATATCGATGCGTCATCTTGCAGGCAAGAATGCATACGAACTTGTTCGTCCATGTTGGACAACCAGTAGCACAGGGTCATTCGGTCCAACCTATAGAGTCTTTTGATATCCTTTGATCGTCTTTTCGTCATTGGATCAAGGTCTTTGTGTTTGGGGTTCTCAGGCAGAGCTGCGCGTGTCTGAACCGTTGTGAACCTTCAAGTGAACATGAACCTTGAGAAGAAACGCAGCCAACTTGTGCCACACAAGCTGTCGCTGTGCATGATCAACGAGACCGACAGCATCCTCAACCAATGCTGCTATGGCTCGAGAGTTATCATCTAACTGGAAGTCTACAAAGGTCTTGACAAGGTCTACAAAGGTCTGCTACTGTCACCATTCTATTTGGCGCCGTCTTTTCCCCCGCGTTCCCCCTTTTGGGTCGTTTTCCCGCGTGTTCCCGCGGTCACGTCATCTGCTCCCAGCTTTACTCGCACCACCTGGCATCTCACAGAGCAGTGCTGCTGCTTGCTGACCCGCACCTCAGAGGTGTGGCAAAAGCCCAAATGGCGTCGCACGGGACGCCGGCGAACGGTTGGTTACCGAGGCACATGCGAAGGGCCAGGTCGCTTCGTCGCCGGCTCCGGCGAGGCGCTCTAGGATTCCACGAGCCACCCGCGTCACGGTCTCCTCACAGCGCCCAGGCGCATTCACTCATCTTAAGCTACTAGGGGCTCCTGGCCTTTCTAGGAGCAAGAAGTTACTAGGAGCAAAGGGCATCGCTACTAGGAACAAGGACGCTACTAGGGGGCTCCTGGTATCGCTACTAGGAGCGATCGGACGCTACTAGGAGCCCATCTTAAGCGCAGAAATTCAGACTGATAGCTTCAAAGGAGGAACGTGTTACTTCGAAGTGATCAAGAAAAGCCAGAGGTTGATGAACTTGGACAAGCAAAGGCGCCGACCTCGCCCCACATCTCGCCCCATTTGTTGAGCAAGCGTCTTCCTAGCGGTTGCGTGACAAGCTCATCAGTGGACACTGTTGGACACCTCACGATCAAACAAAAACAGGATGAAAACGAAAGGCCAAGATGCGACCAAACTGGTGCCAAACAACCATCTTCCAGAGGAGGTCAGTCAGAACACCGGTTTGGTTTAGTCCAATGGCTTGGAACTGGTCCATTTTTGCGCGTAAACGAAGGAATCCAAGCAACCAGCCCTTCCGATCTGAAGAAGAAACCACAGAGAAACCATGAACTGCCATGAACAGTACATAATATAACTACAGGACGAGCCTGTTTTTTTTTGAATTCCCATCGACACGCTGAGTCTCTGAGGGCTTCCCATTGCACTGGTCGTTCCAGGATGGCTGCAGCGCTTACAGGATGCACCGCCTCGCAACCGGACTTGGCCACCATGAAGTCCACCAAGCGCACGGCCAGCCTGAGGTTTCAGCACGCCCACGCCACATAGGGCATCTGAGGCATGGCCACATGATGGCTCATGTGCAACTCGGTAAGTGTGTGTGGAGGCACCCCAGCCAGGTATCACTCACGCTCCTTCCTAGTGGATGTGGGGAATGACCAATCACCGCCACGTCATCACGCCCATTTTGGTGCGGCAAGAGGGCACAGACGGCAAAAGGAAAGGGAGCGCTTTCGAAAGAAGCTGGGACACCTTCGAAAAGGTCCGACAAAGGGCGTGCACGCAAAAAAGGCAACAAAGCAAGTCGAGAAGCTCGTTTACAGAGACAAGTGGAAACCATCGAAAATGCCCGCTTTGTTCTCCCACAAACCGATCCGAAAAAAGGGGATCGGACTTCCAAACAGCCATTTTCGAAGTGACCACGTCCAGGGCACCACCTTCGGCCAAAGCCGCTTGACCCGGTCGCCACGTGATTTGCACAAAACGGTGTGGTCTGAAAGCAAAGAACTGCACGTAGGAAGGCAGAGAAACTGAAGGCTTGAAAGGTGTAGAATCATGATCTTTTGAAAAGGCCTTCATGTTGCAAACCTCGTTCTGCACCAGACCTGTTCGGGCGAAGCTGAGCTTCGGACTGAGCCTCTTCATAGCCCTCGGCATACTGTCCTCGGGCTTCGTCAAGAACTTGCTTCGAACGCTTCGAGCTCTGAGCTCTGCCAGCTCCAGCGCTTCGCCGAGAGGCGTCCGAGATCTTGGTTGATCTCGTCCGTGAGCTTGGTGAGAGCGTCGTGGGAATCGTTGCCCTGTCGTGGAATCCAATCGGCCAGAGGCACCTCGGGGATCTTGGCACGGTCGCAGCTCCACAGGATGAACCGGTCGTCCGAACCGACTCTCCACGTGGAGAACTCGTCCAAAACGCTCGCCCAGAAGCCGTGGAGGGATCGAAGCTCCAGCATGGATCGGTGTGCCGGGTGTCCAAATGCCAAGACCTCAGTTGCCGGCGCTTCGAACTCGCTCGGCCCGGGTTCCGGAGCGCCCACGACCTGGGCCGCCCATGCGAGGGTTTGCGGAGGCGCCCGTTGTCGGACGTCTCGCAAAACGGTGGCCGAGAGATGCCAATAAGATGGCCTAAGGAGTTGGGTCTTGGATCTCATCCAGTTCGTGGACCCCGCCCGTCCCTCGTTGGGTTCCGGTTCGCCATTCCAACCCACCGACCATCGGCCGAAGTCCTTCCGCTATGTCGGTGTTGCTGCCGAAGCTGCGGGAAGAGGATCGGCGACAAGACTTCTTTGGCAGAGGGCTTCTCAAGGAGCAAAGCCTTAAAAGATGTCCACCTGAACCGACGAGGATCCGATTCCAATGGATTCGGCTCGGTCCGGTGCTCGTTTTTGGACGATACGGCCACTCGGGAACGAAGAGCACCGATCAAGGACTCAGTCTGCAGCTGTATTCAGCTCTTCGATGTCTTCAGTGTCTTCGTTCTCTTGACTTTCGGACTTCTTAAGGGGAAGAAGGGAGGGTGTCGACCCTGCCCTGCACTGACCCTGCCGGGTCGACGAGGGGTGCGGCTTCGGTGCCCCCCCGGTCCACCCGGTCCACCCGGTCCCGAGGTCCATCGCCTCTGCACGCCTGTGCCATCCATATCCTAAGTTGGTCTGACTCGCCACTCGCAGCCAATGAGTCCCAAAAAACGGCACAGGGCCCAAGAAAAAATCCAAAAAAATCAAACAGTCAATGCAACTCCCTGGACTTTGGAGAAAAAATAGAAGTTCACGTCCTCCAGCTCAGCGGCGCTTTCCCGACCATACCAGCCTTTCACATGCCTGGAAATCCAGGCATCTTGCAGCACGGGGTAGCCGGGCACAGAATACAATCGCCCCTGCCAGGTGCACAACCACTCTTGGCCGATCAAACGGTCCCGCTGAATGAGGAGGTCGGTTCTCGTGTTTCCATCTTGACCCTTATGGACCTTCTTCTTTCTTCGAAAGGCCGACGATGATATCACTTATATACCGTGAAGACTGAATGCTTGGCGAGGCGCATTGCGGGTCAGATTGAGCCTGCTAAATTGCTCAAGCAAGTTCTGTGGCCCATAGAACCTGAGATGCAAAGGGCTAGCCGGCTAGCCTACCCCCCGTGCCATCAGAAAGACCACGAAGAAATTGAAGAAATTCACGTCTTGGATTGAAAACTGTCCAATCAAGACCCTTTGAAGTGGCCGACCCTTTTCGTTTCCCCGTCACACCGGTCAAAACAAGAAAACGACCACTTCAAAGACTTCGGGCTCACCTTACTTCGAGGCTTCAAGTCTTGAACTTGATCGTGCTTTCTTGGCATCTTCTCTCTAAAAAAAACAAACGGTTGTGTTATGGTGTTCTTGCAATCTCCTTTAGGCCTTTGGAATCCGGACCTTTTCTTTCCCTTTTGACTTGCCTTTGGAATCCTTTAGACCTGCAGATCTTGCTTTTCTGTCTTCGATTCTTGTGAAAGCATACCGGGCACCTACCTTCGGGCCATGTCGACTCAGCTCCAGACACCGTGCGCCAGCCCCGGCGCTCACCTGCAGCAGCCAGGTTCGTGAAGTCCACGAAGGTCGTCCAATCAATACGCCCGGCACCTGTACTGTAGGAGCAAAGGGCATCGCTACGAACGGGGGAAAAAAAGGGACGGAACTCTTTCAGCAGGCGGAACTCTTTCAGCAGGCGGAACTCTGCCGAGACACACTTCGGCCAAAAGTTGTGGCAATCAGGTAGGCCTTCCATCAACTCCTCAGATTCAACAGGAACAGAACTGGAGAAAAACTGAAAAGAAAAGAAAGAAAGAAAGAAAACAACAAAGAAACCTAATACCTCCAACCTACGATGGCCTCCACCCTACTAGCGATGGCCTCCACCCGGGGATTGAGAAAAGAACAAAAAGGTCTAAATCTAAAGGGTTCTTTCAAGAAAGGAGAGAGGGAAAAAGAACGGGAGAGTGTGTATGGGGGATTTGTATCAGAGATTGGTACAAAAATAGGAAGTGTGCATTAGAAAAATATGATTGGGGCAATTGATAGGGAAGTTTGATTTGGGAACTTCTCATAGGGATGTTCTTCTGAGGCACACTTCGGCCAAAGTTGCCTTCCGGATTGAGAAAGAAAGAGATCTGCGATCGAAAGGGAAAGGAGACGTCTCTGCCAAGTCTCATGTGGTATAGGGGGCACAAAAATGCCATCATTTGTGCCGTCTACACTCAGGCTGTGCGCCAGTCCCTCCAGTGCAAGCAGTCTGGAGCAGAAAACCTACGTCTGGAACAGCAAATTCCATGTGAACTAAGGTCATGGAGTGCAGCTGCGGATTGCAAGGCATCCCCCAAAATAGAATACTGCGACGCATGCACCGCAGTAAGCACCGAAGAAGAACAGCCTCGAAATTGGCCCCGTAGTCCAAGCTTAACTTGAAGCCACCAGTTGGACCAAGCAAACAATCCACAAGGTCAATGAAGTTGTCCTCCACTTCTCCAGTTCTTAGGCCTTTTGCGCTACTAGCTTGGAGGCCATCGCTAGTAGGTTGGAGGCCTTTTTTCATGTGGTTTCTTTAGGGGAGATGGCACTGGAGCTAGCATTTGTGCATGGAAGTGGGGGGGATGGCGTGGGAAAGGCCAAGTCCCACCTTTGCTCCTAGTAACTGTAGCGTCCTCTTGCTCCTAGTAGTAAGAATGCTCCTAGTAGCGATGCCAGGAGCCCCTAGTAGCGATGCCCTTTGCTACTAGTAGCGTCATCTACCAATGTGAGTTCCTTCTAATACACATTCGGTACGGGGTGAAGGCAAACCACCTCAAACTCAAAGGAAATCACAAGAATCAGAAAGCTTGCTAAGAGCCTAGGCCAAGGTTTGGTGCGGCCAATCAAGCATAACTAACGGAGTCAACCATAGTGAAACTAGTATTGCTGCATCAATGTGGAGCCGGTAGAAGTGAGTGGTATGACCGGCGTAGCCGGCCGGACCAGCAGAAGCTAAGCTACGGATAGCTACGGCAGTCTACGGCCTCCAACCTACCGGCGATGGCCTCCAAGCCAAGAGCTTCTTGCTCCTAGTAGTAAGAATGCTCCGTTCGTAGCAATGCCAGGAGCCCCTAGTAGCGTCCCTCTTTACTTTGTTTAAACCAAAGTCTGCACAAACGGAGAGATGCGACATTCCCCGGTCCTCACCAGGGCGGACCTTGGGAACAAATCCGTCGCAAACGGAAAAATAAAGAAAAAACACGGCCAAAAAAAGAAGAAACACGGCCAAAAAAAAGCCAAAAAAAGAGGTCAAAAAGGTAAAGGTCAAAATAAGCCTTCAAGGAAGGTCTGAAAAGACTTCTACATGCAACGCCTGACTTTGACAAGAGACGACCAGATGCAGAGCTGGATATCCTCGGTCCATCAGTAAGGCACTCCTCTCAGTCTCGAGGCTCACTTCGCAGCTGCCGAGTGGCCGAGCTGACGATAGAAAAGGGCCAGTTTGGCAATTCTTGCTTCATGAGCTTTGAACCACCATTCCAAATCATCGCATCGTTCCTGATGCATTCGAAGTGTCGTCATTTGGACGATTTCCACAGAAGAGAAAAGAAACCGCGCCTGTGAGATGGACACGGGAAAGAGGTGTGTCTGGATGGTATGCAGAAAGTCCGCCTCGAGGTCCGGCCAATCGCCTCAAGGCGTCGATGTCGCAGCGAAGCGGAGCGACCGAAGCACCGGACGAACATCGCCCAGTGACGTAGCTGGTGGCGCACCTGACGCGGATTTGGTAGAGATGAGATGGCTAGTAGATGCAAGTGGTCCATGACCGAAAATGTTGGTATGTAGTAAAGCCAGGAGCTACGTTCGTTGCGTCCGATCGCTCCTAGTTTGCTCCTAACTAGTAGCTTCTTGCTCCGTTCGTAGCGATGCCAGGAGCCCCTAGTAGCTTCGACATGTTCCAGACCCATGCCTGGCGATAAACATCACGAGGCAATGCCACAGAAGTCTGCAACTCACCTCACTGACTCATGATTGCTGGCCTACGGGTTCCTTGTGCAAGCAAGGGCGCCAGGAAACTTGCATGATATCAAGGCAAGCCAACAGAAGCCAACCGGCTATAAAATTGTTCGTCGTTGCGTCTGAGGATCCATTGAGTCTCTCGGTAATCATGCGCAGTCGGTCAGAGAGCTTGGTGTCTTTCCGGATTCGCATGCGCATGTTGTGCGACGCAAAGGGAACGCCTCGGCGTTCGGGCTCCGCGTCGGGTTCGGTGGTGGTCGCGGTCGTGTCGGGCCAAGTGTCCGAGGTCCAGGTGATTCACCAACTCACTCAGGCTGAAGGTAATTGCCAGGCAGGACGTGTTGGAGGAAACCTTCCACGCGGAAGAGGAGGATATTAAAAACAGAGGCTATCGCTATATAGTTATTAGGGTGGAGGCCATGGCTAGTTTTTCTGGTGGAGGCCATCGCTATTCGTGTTTTGCAATTTGTGATATTCTTTCTTTCTTGCGTTCTTTCTTTTCTTGTTCTTGTTTGTTTTCAAAAAGCCACCACGCTCCACAGCCTCGAGAATCACAAGTCTTGAACAAGACCGCGGAGGCGCCTGTTGCTGAACCTCCAGCCCAATGGTGGTATTCGCCATTGCCTCCCAGCACAGGTGGTGAAGTCTTTGGAAACAAAACCCACGCGTTTTGGGCGCTTTTTCGATGCTTGGTGCAAATATGTGTTTTCAGTTCCGAGACCACCAAATGCTCACTACACACCTTTTAAGTAATCTGAGAAGATCTGAGAAGATCTGAGGATCTGGCACAAAAGGTGGCATCCGTGTAGCCTCGCACTTGTGAGATGGTGCCCTCCGTCATCTCCTACGAAAAGGTGGCGGCCGAAGTCGCTCGCCGCGAGCGGCGCGGAGATCCTGTGCCTCGGAGTAGCCTAGGATGTGCAGAAGGCTCCGCAGCTTGTCCTCTGAAGGCGTCGGCCGCCGAAGCAGCCGAAGCAGCCGAAGCAGCCGAAGCAGAACTCGACCCAAAACTGTCAACGTCCTCCGTGATGGTATGGACCAAGCGAACCTCCTGCCAGGATCCTGAGCGAACTGCGTTGGCCATGGCAATTTCCCAACCTACCTGTATTAGCAATGGCCTCCACCCTAGAAGCAATTCAATTAAGTTAAAGGAATCTTTAAAGAAAAGGACTAAAGATATCCAGAGGTCTGCCAAAGAAGCAAGACATCATCTCCGAATCATCACTTACTCACTGGCGTGCCAAGCATCGGCAGTCTGTGATGTTGGGCTTCCCGTACAAGGAAAACCTCGAGAAGAGAATGGACAAGACGCCATGTTCTCGGCATGTTTTCTCTAGTAGCGATGCCCGAAATGCTCCGTTCGTAGCGAACCTTGCTCCGTTCGTAGTAAGGCCAGGAGCCCCTAGGCCCTAGTAGCGATGCCCTTGTTCCGTTCGTAGCGATGCCCTACCTGGTGCTTCATTCGCATCGAACGTCCGAGAAGTTTCGCTCCCAGAGATTCCTGACTGGCGCTCCCACCCGAAGAAGCCACCCGTTTACAGCGATGCCAGCTGAGCGACCGGAGCTTCACGGGGGCAAAAGCATCCAGCAGTTCGTTGGAAAGCACCTGGGCCAGACGCGCGAGACTCCGGCGCCCGGTGGGCGAACTCTGTCGGTAGGTCTCCCCACGACGGAGGCGCCCGCTTCGGCGGTGCCCCGTTCTTGGGCTTCACATTCGGGAGCATCGCCATCGGCTCCTTGCTCAACCGTGGGAAGTAGCTGAGACAAGGAGAGGCCCCATCGACCCTGACCTTCTTTACCTTCTTTTTGGTTCCTATAGCCGGTAAGGCCTTTGGTAAGGCCTCTAGCCAGGGTGCCTTCTTGCGATGGATTCCAGACATGGGCGGTAGGGCTCCTTTGTGGTGGTCTCTTGGGAATTCCACAGCCAAGATCGCTGAGCAAGAAGGACAACAAAGCAAAGCGAGGCAAAGTGCTCTTGAACAAACATGTGTTTTTAACAAAGAGAGGTAAACAAATCTTTTCATGTACGGTTAAGCCTTAAGTGCAAGCGGCCACGACAGCCACACGCCTTGGCATGCAGGGGATGCCGCAAGCGCAGCCAGCACCGACTTGCAGCTACCCTGTGCCGCGCAGGATGGCACAGTGCATCAGGAGAAGATCAGACTCTACCCTCCCCCATCTTAGCGTCCTTGCTCCTCCCCTAGTAGCTTCTTGTTCCTAGGAGTAAGGCCAGGAGTCCCTAATAGCGTCCTTGCTCCTAGTAGCAATGCCAGGAGCCCCGTTCGTAGCTTCTTGATACACATTCTCCATCCTCAAGGACCTTTGTTTTATTATGTGTTATTTCTTCTTTGGATCTTAGGGACCGGACCTATAGACCTGACCTGGTCTCGTCTCTTCTGACCTGTTCTGACCGTGGGACTTGGGGGACCTTAGGGGCCGGACCTTTTTCTCTTTAGACCGGACCTTTGTGGTCGTGTGACTTTCCCTAGACAATTATAATTTGCACTCATTGACTCCTTTTTCGGCCAGATATCAGAAGGTTTCACATGTTGGCGTGGGCGCCAACATACCTTAGAGTATGTTATTTATGCCTCTCTGGGCATCTTGGCCAACTGCGGGCCTTTTA